TTTGGGTCAGGATAAGCCCACATTATGTGGCAGTAGTGAAAACACCTCCACAGCATCCTTCATCATAGTTGCTTAAACACAAAACCAGTCTCTTACCTTAGTTTAATGCGTATGTCGGGCAACTCTTCATGTTGCAGTGTAGACTGCTTTAGTCTTTTAACCTGAGCATCTTAATCCAAAATCTCTATAATGATAACCACAGCAGAGAAAGAAGTGTCCAGAACTGCTTTAGATGTGTTTATCTGAAAGTGATCCCCATCAATGAGCTTGCAATTCTTTGGCCAGTGTTAGTCCTGTGACCTCATCTTACTGTGCAAGGGTGAAGATAGAGTCTTATGTGTTGTATGCCCAGTTAAAATAACTGGATATTATTGAACACAGGTAATGGCTACCAAGACTCATAGGCACTGGGTACTTAGACTAAGCATAGCAGGTATCATTTACCCTTCTCCTTGGAACACTCAATATAGTCACATGTTCCCCAAAACAGTACTATCTCTGAAGAACCAGATTTCAACTGAAGCCAGGCAAGAAACTAGATCAAAGAGGTTGCATTCAATATGCATTAAGTAATGTGGGAAAATGGGAAAGAGTAACAGCATAGTATAAGTGACAAGTATGGAGAACTTAAGGATCCTCAATAAATATTTACTGAATGAATGTTAAGTGAGAAATAAGAAGAAATTTAGCTCTCAGAAATGAAACAGGAAAGGCAACAGGGAGAGACAGATATAGGAAGAAAAAACACATGGAAACAGTTTATGCTTTTCAAATGTTCTGAATAATATTTGGGAATAAAAGCTGTTCTTTCTGTGTCTACTGCTTCCAGTAAGCCTGAAATATTTCTGGGCTGGTCTCTTCTGCCATAGTGGGGGTGCAGAGGAAAGACTTCCCAGCCAGGCTGCTTCATGCTTACCTAGTGAAGAGCAGGAAAATAGTTGCACATCTTGGACCTGACTGCCTACTGGAATGTTTTGGGATAAAACACGTTTGCTTGATTGGCACTTGTCAAACATAGAGGAGGTGCAAGAGTGAATGCTGCTACGAAGACTTAAAATGTTACGAAGTAGAGCAAAGTGCTCCTAAATGCAGTTCTTTTTTGAAAAACATATTAGAAGTGTTTTCCTAAAATAACTAAAAATGATTTACATAAAAGTGTTTCTTGAAGAAAAGAAAAAAATGGGGGGGAGGACATTTATAAAAGCGTCCAACATTAAATCCTTTTAACATTTTGATATATTTTACCTCAAATGTTTTTCTAGGCACATATCCATTTGTTTTACAAAAGTAGACTATACAATACATACTATTCTGTCATCTCCATTTTGCTTAAAAGTATTTAATGAATATTTTTCCATGTCAACAAATATATTTCTAAAACATTGTTTAATGACTACATGCTATTGTATCACATCTGTGTCAAAACATATTCATTTACCCTGTTAAATTGTTTACAGGTTGTTGCCATTATAAACAAAACTGCTATGAACATATTCCAGCTGAATGTTAGTATACATCTTTATTTTATAGACTAATTTCTAAGCTGAAATTATTAATATAGAAGTTATACACATTTTGAAGTTTATCATGTATATCACTGAATTACCTCTAAAAATTGTTTCTACCTGCAGTCCTACCAGCAATGGATGAGAACAAGAGTTTTTGGAGCAAATAAATCCACAAGAGGGATTCTGCAGTTTTTATGTATTATTAAATACATGTTTAATTTCAACAGCTATTAATAGAACAGGATACTCTGTGTATTATCTCTTAAGCCTCCATCTTACATTGAATATTTTGTGTTAAAATCAGAAATATAAGACTTTCATATTAGTAAAACAGATCTACATATTCTGTGAAATGGATTCATTGATATCATGGAAACTGGGGTAAAATCCATGGATGGTTCATTGAATATCTTTTTTTTTTTTTAATATATTTGGTACAGGGTCTCACTATGCAACTTGGGACTCATAGTGATCCTCCTGTTTTCAGTCTCCCCAGCGCTGGGATTATAGGTGTGCACCATCATGCACGGTCTCCATGGCAACTCAGCATGCACTGGGGTGGGGCCGGTGCAGCATATGGTACTGAAGATTGAACCTTGGTCCCTTGCCTAAGCAGGTGCTTAGTTGGCTGAGCTTTCTTGCCTGCCCTCATTAAACATACTGAATGAGTTTTTTGTTCAACAAAGTGTATTGAGGTTTGCCATTTAATATCATCCGTTCCCAGTATGTAACATTTATGCACATCATTAATGCCTGAATGTTAGGCAATTTCTCATTTCTCTAAAAAGAGCACAAAAATTTCAGCTAAATCAATTATTTTAAACTTCAAATGACATGATAGAATAACTGTGTGTATTTATAATATATAATCCACTAATTTAGACATAAATAGTACTTTAAAGTATATATTTTTAGGAATATTTTAGAATTATTGCTCTTTTCATCCTTCTAGTTCAGAAAGCACTTTCAGTCCAACTCCTTTCCCATTCATTCTAGACGTCAGAACAGGGCCACCTTTTCAGACAGCTGGACTGCTGCTGCTGCCCCGCGTGTAGAATTCATTCAGTGTAACTGAGAGTGCAAGTCCTTGTGAAGCTTTATTTGATGCCATCACTACAGAACTTTTTCCAAGCTATAAAAACTGAGTTCCTCTTCATTATTTCTTGTGACCGCTGACTATGCTCCTTATTTTCAACAAAATACATTTATAATTATGAAGTGATATCTCCCAAATAATTATCTCAATATTAAGTTCCTTTGCCTCCAGGTTTTCCAGTATCATCAAGTAAAGGACTGTTGAAAGGCTCAACATTCTCATCAGTTGATGGTGCTTCAGGCTGATACACCTTCCTCAGAGTACTGTACTTTGTTCAAAATAAATTAGTAAATAGTTCCTCGTGCTATGAGTCTTTGTAAATACTTTAGTATAAGTGCCTCTTTTTCTAATGGATAATTTTGAAAAAGAAAAATCTCACTTTTATGTTCTGCCATATATTTAAACAAATTTTTTTAAAAAGCATTTAACACTAATTTCCTGCATGTTCTTATGCAAAGTTACTATTCAATATGAAAGCTCTTGTCCACCTATAAGAAATATTTAAAGAAAGCAATAGAATTTTAATACATGTATCTTGTTTAGTGCGCAGAAAATAAGAGGATCATGAAGGTGCTGTTTTGAAAATATTTACATTAGAATCTTTTAAGAACTATAGTCTATACCTAATTAAACTCCTTCCAACCCCTCGTAAGGAGTTTAATTAGGTATAGACTATAGTCTCCTTTGAAGGAGAGCAGGAAAGAGCACACAAGAGAGGGAGGAGGAAGGGAGAGAGGGGGAGAGAGGGGGAGAAAGGGGGAGAGAGAGGGAGAAAGAGAATACTTAGGATAGTCTTTTGGTAATCCACAGCCAAAATTTTTAGAAATCAAAATGAAAAATTAAGAGAACTGAATGGCTAAATTTCCCTGTAGTGTTACGCTTTTTTCACATATATTATGTTATATTGTTTTCAATCTTTTCATCTAAATATTTTCAAGAGAATCAGATAAAAAAAAACATTTTACCAATAGGATTGTGGTTATTTGATTAATATTGTAGAACACAGTATATGGTAACTCCACTGCTTGGAGTTTTGTTCTAGCCCAATATATATATATATATATATATATATATATATATATATATATCATCCCAAAAGTTCTCAGGGGTGCATGGATGCAATTCACATCATCTTAAAAAGCAATGAGCTTTTTGCCATTGTGTCCTTCTTATTTGAAGTACATCAAACTGAGAGACACGGATCTTAAAATAAATTGTTATAGAACTCTGGTTCTATAAAATCTTATAATTTCATAATATGATAAATGCAATTCAAAATGTTAATTAAAAGATGCATTTGTTTTAACTCATGATACTGAAAATATTGACTGAATTGTGAATTAACACATTTAAGGGTGCAGATGTCATTTTTCTGAATGATGTAATTTTCATATTTCTTATAGCAGTTTAATCAATTTACAGTTTTATTTTACATAATTAGTTGGTAAATGAGAAATTTCATTGCTGGTGTATAACTATTTTTCTGTAATATAAAAAAGGAAATTAAAATTCTGAATTATAAATAAAAAACAAATATTTTGAAGACATCTGGTCTACATCTGTCTGAAATAAGATAATTTAAAACAGTGTAATTAAATGCAAGAAATACTGAAATATTCACACCTTATAATATAAAAAGCTCATTTTAGTGTGATTTCTTGAATTTGAGAATTTTTTGAAATTGTAATGTCCTTTAACATCTCATTCTGTCATGAGAAAGAAGATTGGCACACTACACAAAAATAATCCATGTTGCCAAATCCTACATGAAATGATTGTCTTTATTACTTTTCTTTCATGTGTTGAATAACCTCCACGTGTAAATAAATGTTCAGCAGGCAGAGACTCAGACCATAACTCTGAGATTCACAATTTACCACTCAGTTATTGAAAATAAGATATTAACAAAAGAGTCTCTACTAATCTCACTAAATTGTGTTTTCCTTCCGGATGCAAAGATGCTCAGTAAATGTGGGAGAAAGGCATTCAGACATATGGAAATAAAAGACATTTAAGTATGTTCTCGTGACCTACAGAGAATCATCCTTTGAAGATTGGTCTTCCTTTAAAAAATGTGTTAAATGAAAAAATTTTGGAGAAAGCAAGCACTATATAATTCTGTAGTCCAAACTTTAAATGTTAAAAAAAAAAAAAAATTTGCTAACAAAGGCTGCAGAGCCTTATAACTGCAGTGCAACTGGATTTGATCAGAAAGAGAAGTCTGTGGATGTTAAAGCACTCAGTGCTGATGCTACAGTATGAGGTTTAGGGAGAAGTTTCTGCTGAATGCCAGAGGCTCCCCTAACTAGCAACAGACCTTGAAAAGAACAGGCAGTGTTTTCTACCCCATGGTCGTATATACTAATGAAAGTTATATTCTGTGTGTTTATTTCCAGGGAGCATGACAAAGATCCAGAGAGTTTTTTTAAGATATTAATACATCTAAAGAACTTAGGACTCAACTTCCACGTCTCTGTCCTTGGAGAAACTTTTACAGATGTCCCAGGTACCTCTTCTGAATTTACTAATTGTATTTGTATAGATGACTTTAAGCAGTACAACTCAAGTATTAAATTCCACGTTTTTCTTTGTTAGAATAATCAAGATGAGCACTGTTAACCAAAAGATTATAGGATGGCATTAAAGTCAGATTCAATTAAAAAAATACTTAAGTAAGCATTCTTTGATTTAAGTTGAGAATGTGAAGTCATCCCTTTTATCAAATATAGTTTATACAATGCATCTTGATGTAAATAAAATATATTGCTGTAGGCATTTTAACACTTAAGAAAGTGGAAATTCATAATTGGATGTACAACCTCTCACCTCTAAGGTCACTGGTTTGAATCCTGCTCACATCAGTAATGGTCAAAATACATTACCATCTGTTAGGTGGTCTGTGTAAAACATTTTGGCATCTAATGTTTGGCATCTAACTTGTAATGTGGCACAAGCAACAGTCCATGTCATTGATCTATGCGTTTTTTATTGAACTTAGGAAAGAAAAATTGAAGACTTTTAGCAGCAGTTCCTCTTGTTCTTCCTGCCCCACAGAGCCTTTCCACAGCCATTTCTCTCACCCTGCGTGTTCACTGGTCATTTCTTGCGCCACTCATAAGCAGTTTTAACACTTGTGTTCTTGTTTTTAAAGCTTTGGTATTGGATATTGTTTGAAAACCAAATTTGAAGGCAATAAAGAAATGACCTTTGTTCAGAAATAGTCTTTGCCATCATGCACTAGAACACTAAAGGACCTGTAAAGGGTGCTCTTACTTAGCAAGTACTTCTTGAGTCTTTGGTTCAGTGCTGGGAACTGCCCCCAGCCTGTGCTCGCTCATCTCATCTTCTGTGGCCCACTTTCTGTCCTCTGCACCTGTGAACACTGACATTTACTTGGCTTCTGCGTGGTACCAGGCTTCTTAAGTGCCATTTTATATGTAGTTCTATTTTATCCTTTTGATCTCGACTTTGGGGCCCTTTCTTTCAGTACTTTATACTTTTTTATAGTGTTTCCTCAGTTTCAAATTATTTTATATATGTGTAAATGTTTTTACCCCTCCCCTATACCCATATACACACACACTAGAATGAAAGTTGTGGGCCAGGGAGATAGCTCAGTGGCATAAGTGCCTGCCTTGCAAGTACAAGGTCCTGAGTTCGATACCCAGTACTGAAAAAAAGAAAGAAAGAAAGAAAGAAAGAAAGAAAGAAAGAAAGAAAGAAAGAAAGAAAGAAAGAGAGAGAAAGGAAAGTTGTGTTGGTAACAGAGAGTGTATCTGTACTGTGTGTCATTATTCCCCAAAGCCAAGTACAGTGACCAATACTACACTATAGCTCATGAATATTTATTAGATAAATACCAAAAAGAATGTAAACTGCCTGCCCTTAAGGAGTGTATAGTTTTGTTAAGGAGAGACATTTGTGCATAAGCACAAAAAAAAAAAAAAAAACCCAGAATGAAGCAAAGATGATACATAGTATTGACACATGCGACTAAGTGTGTTAATTAAAGAACTGTAGATGGCCTGAAAAAGGAGTAGCCAAAGTTATATGATTAACCAGTGCTAAAAAAATACAGATTTATTAGATTATTCCAAAATGGGAAATGCCATGGGCAAGACATGTAGAAACAAGCATTTTAGATATTGTGTTGAAATGAGAGAATGAATTCAATGATTAGTTCTGTGAAGTCATTAATCTAAGTATGAGAGGTGATCCTGCATGCAGACTTCATAGTAAGTTATTACCTACTTTACACAGGCCAGGAATGGTCAAAACAGGGAGGATTTTGATCACCAAGCAGATTAGGTAAAGAGAGGAACAGGGAGTCTACACTAAAGTAGGAAATGAATAAGATACAACTTGTATTTTATGAAGCTGTATCTTGAAATGATACTCAGACAGAATCACAAGATTGTGGTATGGTAATCCCAGTGTGATTCTGTGACACTGTGGCTGGAGAGGTTGTGAAGACTGAATTTTTCAAGGAATACACAGATAATAATTTGGTAGATTGATAACTATAGAGAAAGAAGAAATGAAAGGATCAGATTGTTTGCAAAGGTGGTGAATCAGTTTGTTTATGTCTTTTTGAGTGTGCTGTGGGTGGCCTAGGAGGAGAGGCTGGCAGACGTCCCTGACAGAGGCATCACACCAGGTTGTCACAGTGAAGTTTAGGCCCCTCTACAGAAACGACTAGGTCTGTAGCAAAGAGCTCTGCTCTCAGCATCACCACTGCCCCTTCCCATGGTTTTTTGTTTGTTTCTTTGTTGTTTTTAATGTATTTGGTACAAGGTCTCACTGTGCAGCTTGAACTGGTAGTGATCCTCCTGTTTTCCACCTCCCAGCACTGGGATTACAGGCATGTGCCACCATGCCTGGACTTCGTTGCAAGCTCAGAGCACCTGGGGGTGGGGCCAACTTGGCATATGGTACTAGGGATTGAATCCTCCTTCCCATGTTTGACATGAGCTATTTAAAGTACCATGGGAGGTGTAAAGATGGAATTTGGAGAAGTTAAAGGTTCAGATGTCATTAGTTCTCAGTAACGATAGGTCTACTCATACTGCTCTCTGCAGCTTGACTTCAATATATGCTTCCTTCACCCTGTGGAGTTGAGCTGCCACAGTAAGCAGGACTCCGTGTCCCCAGCAGGAAACACATAATTAGCAGGTACCTGGTCTGCTGTGGCATACCTCTAGGGTACTTTGGAAGCCTGCAAGAAGGGAGATCTCACTGTTTTTGTACCTGCTCTTGTTCTTTCTCTCTCTCTCATTTATTTATTTATTTATAAAAATTTCTTATTTATTTATGTATGTATTTATTTAGAAATCAGTTCTTCATGGCCATCACACTTCACTTTGCACTTTGGGGAAAAAGTGTTGAAGGATGCAAGAGCCTGGTAGCTTCCCCGTTTGTGCCTTTGGAAGTCCGTTTTGTTATATTCACTCTACAAACTTCCTAACCATTCTAGGTGGTGTCAGCTGCCCTTATCATACCACTATTTGTTTCTTTGTTTAGCTTCTTATATAGCATTCTGTAATTTAGGCATTATTCTCAGTCATTTGCAGATATGAACTCCATAAAGCCTCATAATAATTTTATTCAGTGCTAATATCTCTACTTTTTCCCAGGTGGTGAACCTCATTCACAGAAACATTAAGTAAGAACACACAGCTACATAGTGTGCTAACCACACATTTAACTGTATTTCATGTCCTTGTTTTCAGAACTTCTGCTTTTCTCTCTCAGTTCCACATCCAGTATCTCTTATCTAGCCCTTGCGCTAATGGGGCAGGCTTCTAGAGTTTGTGATTACTTTATGGTCCAATGGGGTTATGAGTGTGAGTGCTACACCCGCCCTGGGGGTAGGGGGATTGTCTGAATGTAAGAGAAGGGAGGGAAAGAGGCTTGCTGTCTGCTGCTGCTCCTCCCGTTTTGCTCTTCTGCTGCTTTTACTGTTTTCTGCTGCAGTGAACTGTTGTCCTCTGCCATGTGCCTCTCTGCCTTGGAGACATCTGATTATGGGCTGAAACCTCTATAAACTACGAGCTTAAAAAGCCTTTCCTTCGTTAAGATTATGAGCATCAGGTATTTTGTCCCAGCAAGAAGAGAAAAGTAACCAAGACACTCGAAGATGTGCATTTCTATGCCTGTTCCCTCTTCTTGGTGGTGCATTAGCATATCTAAAACCTAGATAATAAGTTAATAATATGTTATATTATGTTATTTTGTATCTGATATTGTACCTGTTAGAATTAGTCTTAACACTGTCAACATTTTTAGAGCAACAGGTTCCTTATGTATAATTATAACCATAATTATTCTGATGATATTAGTAACTACAATTTATTGAAAGCTTTTTAACTGGTCCTTTGCCTAGTTATTGCATACAATGTTCATGGTAAGTCCCGTGAGGTAGATATTGCTATCTCTTTCTAGGCAAAGAAACAGAATCTGAAAGCTTAAGTATTTAATCAAAGTGAGTCAGGATTTCTCTTTCACATACAAGCTTAGGTGAAAAGGAAAATCAAAAAGGTGTAATACACGGCAGCAGTACCATTAATTGGTCTTGCTACAACCTTCCGTCTTCTCCGTATGACTCATGAGGAAGACAGCTTTGCTGAATGATGGCATTAGTGCTGACTATTTTACCATAACTCTCTCTAGTGAAGCAAACCATAAGCATTAAATTTCTTTTGAAAAAAAATTTAAACTATAAAACAGCAACTCTAGCAGCCTCTATGCTGTTGATTATTTTCAAGTAAAAGTATTCTACAGCTTTAATAATCCTATTTGTGAAATGTGTAGTAGAACTAACCACCAACCAGTCCATTTGTTGAAACTCTGCATGGCCAAAAGTTGCATTTTTTTCATTATTTTTTATAAGATAATATAACAAGAACTAGCTGTGGGGGACTCAGGTCAATAATTTCTGACATTGCCAGTTAAACAGAAGACCCAATGATATTATGGGCTTCTGTACTCTTTTAGAATATTTTGCTGAGTTTACACACCTATAATATTCAACAACGGAACTTTAAAAAAATTGGGGTATAACTATGAATGTCCATTTTGTATCTGTGTATTCAAAGTGGTTGGGATAGATATATAGTTGCATTCTCTTAATGAATAGAATGATTTTTTCTAATGGTGTTTGTAAGTAGGATCACAAGTCTGCATCTTGTACAGCAATTAACCACTAAGAAGAATATATGCAGTGTATTATTTGTTGAAACTGTACTTTCGATTTGATTTGAAACTGTCTCATTGCTATATGTTTATCAATAAAACTTTGAAAAGAAAAAAAATATATAACAAAACTATAAAAATGACAATTTTACCAGATTTATTCAACAATTAACTTGTTGAAATGATATCTGCCCTAGCAACACTTTAGACAGTCTGTACATAAACAAATGGGCTGCCCTAGTCATGCTCACAAATGGGCTGCCCTAGTCATGCTCAGGGTAAACTGTTAAGTGGTTAAGATAGGTGGTTATAATT